TTATTCCAAAAATAAAAAAGAGCAATTAGTAGCCCACCGCGAGGGTCGAACTCGCAGCCTTCAGATGCCCTAGCCTTTGACTTAAGAGTCTGACGCTCTATCCGATTGAGCTAGGCGGGCGGTGAAAGTTCGGAGTAATTCAGCCATCATAACAGGACGGGGAAGTGGGAAATCGTAGGCGGTTTTTTCTGCATGAATTGAAACCTTCTGGTTAATACCATGCCTCGTCGTATTCAGCGTGCGTAAGGTTATCCACCTGATGCAAGCTACGGATCCGTGCAGCCACACCGATCCAACTGACGACACCAGGGTTCGAGACGCCCTCAAACGCGGGAGCCCATCTGGCTGAAAGTAGGCAGATGAATGACTGGGGGGACTGCAGAATGATATCCGAAAATAACAGCGGATGTGCGAAAGGGAAAATGGGGATGAGGCAAGTGAAAACTCGACGGGGGAAGTAAGAGCGTGTCGAATCGCCATCGTGGCTCAACTAGGATCTTGATAGATATGCCGTGATGCATGATTATGCGTTGACGCGATTTGTGACCGAAAAACGGCTTCATATCGAGCTAGCAAAGGCCTAAATTCCTGGCGTCGCCTTTCTCGCAGAAGAGAAGAGGGGAAAAAAAGGCGATCCTCTCTTGTCCAAGCCAATCACGATGGCATTCGCACTTGCAGGATGGTTTGTCTTGTAAGCTTCGTATGGCATTAGCGAAGTTCTTCCAGGTTGAATTGAATATGCATTACTATATGCCAGGAGCCCGATGGCTAAGACTCGGAGCAGACACGACCACCACGACCGCGATCGCGAATACGACCATCTAAAGGAGGTAAGAGGGAACTGAAGTTGTGCAGAGGCAAAGAACCCCACTTTGAATGTCATATCCTCTGTTCGCCGCATGCAAACTGCGTTTTTCTTCCCATACTTGGCCAAAAAAGCTCCTCTATTCTCTTCTGCAACGTTGCGTCCTCGTCAGAGAAGCCTTTCTATATTGTCAATCAGTAAAGCA